TGACAGTTCACTCTTCGGCCGCTCCCTTCTGCCGTCTTTTGGAGCAAAATTATCCACACCCACCGCCGCACTATGAATTGTGGGATATATGGGACCAAGTGTGCACCGGACCACGCTTGATATTTGGGGAAATCGTCGGCGCATTTGGAGTACACTTCGAATTGGGACAGCCGTCGTCGTGTGGCGGTGACGTAATCGCACTCAAAATGCGTACTTCAAGCGTGCGGTCTCTTAATTGGGACACAGCCCAGTTCTGTCTCTGAGTGGATTTTGTTTAGGCGGGGTACTGCTGACACTCTACTGTGGATTGACTAACATACAGAAGCCTCTACTGCCATCCAGTGGTCAAAAATTACACTGCTGTAGAACTGGGCTGCTGTAGTTTAAAAACAGATTAACATGTGTCAATGCAGCTGTTTATTGTTGTTATTAAATTATTGCCTTTTGTTTGATGATGAAAACAAACAATCTCTTGCCTCAGGGCAGGTTTAAAGTGTCAGATGAACCATGACACAGTTAAATGTGACCGGATTGGTGAGCTCCACACCCACAGTCTGTGGATTTCGATTGAATCTGCCCCTGCTGTTTGCCCGGGAGACCCTAGAGGAGCAAAATGCTGTGGCGGGGTGACTGCAGGGCTCGGTCGGGTTCCCCCGTCACCACGACAAGTAACAGAGCAAATACATTAGCAGCTGATCAGGTTATTTTACAGCAGGTCCATCACATGATCCAGTATAAAACAAGTATCTCAGAGACGGCTTAGAGTTTCACCAACCTGCAAAAAACTGCAGGAGGATCAGAGCAAATGCGTAGAGCACCGAGCTGAAAAACAAAGTAGTGAGAGCTGTCAAAGAGGCTGTGTCCATCTTGTGTTTACAGCATATGCTTTGCCTATTGTCCCTAAAGCCAATCAAAGCCACCTCTGCTGACCCACGGCTGCAGAAACAGCAGAAGTGACGGTGTGGAGGGTTCAGTTAGTGTGTGTCTGCTGATAAGTGTCAGCCTGCAAGCTGTCAATAAATCTTTACTGAGGATTGAACGTGAGTCTGTTCAGTAAACAACCTGCAGTCTGGAGAGATTAGGGATTACATCGTGCTGCAGGGTCCCGTCCAGAGCTCCGGTGTCGCCGCCGCTGCCTCCAACACATCTGGAGCTCCGGTGGAAACGAGACTGCGGACAGCAGCGGCGATTTGTATAAAAGGCAACTGCTCGCGTTGTCGTTGTGTCGCTGTTTATGAGAACATGTTAAAAACCCCGCAGAGCGCGCCGCCGCCTCCACATCAGCACGTTTACCTGATAACAGGTGAGCAGGTGAGCTCCGCCATTAGCACCAGCCCTCTGTTTTCATTCACAGCCCACCTAAGATTGGATTTGTCTCGCTGCCTTTGAAAGAGGAACACCAGCCGGCAGCTCGTCTTCAAAGCCAGTTTAGTGCATCAGGACGCCGCGACACCGAGTGCAGCTATGTGCAGCCTGGTTGGTTCCCACAGACGTGAAACAGAAATCCACAGACGCTGAAAGTTGTGCAGAACGATGACCCCGTCTTGTGTGGTCATGCAAACATGATTCGATAAACAAGATAAACCCATAAAAAGTTTCATCCATCCACAGGCTCTTCTGATCATCTGTGCAGGCTCTGAAAGTTCACCAGTGCAGGACAGTGTTAGACATCACACGCCTGGAAGCTGAAAGTGGACTCAGGGCCACAGCTGGTGTGTGTGTCAGGCAGACAGAGGCTTAGATCAGTCTCGGGTTGGTGGTTTGATCCAAGGTTTAGCTCACGTTTATCCAGCATCAGATTGGATGAGCTCAGTCTGAGTCTGCTCACAAACACGCCTGTTGGCGGTCGTCCGATTGTTTCTGGTGGTGCCTCAAAGCACCGAGGTGACCGTTGGTAGGATTTGATGCTATATAAATAAAACTGCAGTGAACTGTACGTCTGTGATGGCATACAGGCTGTGTCCAGGAGTGCATCTGAAGGAAACTACTTCCTGTTCGGAAGTACAATACAATACAGTTTTATTTATATAGCACATTTAAAATCCCGAAGGCTTCGCAGTAATACGGAGAAACAACATAAGTCAATAACAGAGTACAGATCGGGCACTAACAGACAGGATGGAGGCATTAATAGAACAGAAGAGTTAAATAAAATAGGCATCAAACCTCAACACAGAGGGAAGGTCAATCGTGAGTGCGAAATATCTACGAAGATAAAAACTGCAGTGAAATTAATGATAAAATAATACATTTAATAAAAAGTGTAAAAAGGGTGTTAACTGGTCAGGACAGCCAGGTTAAATAAGTATGCTTTCAATCTTGATTTAAAGGACTGGATAGAGTCCGAGGCTCAAATAGAAGCAGGGAGGCTGCAAAGGTTGGGTGCAGCTGAAGCAAAGGGTCGCCTCTGGTCTTCAGTCTAAACTTAGGTTGGTGATCTTAATGTACGACAAGGAGTGTGCAGCTTGAGGAGTTCAGTGAGGTAACTGGGCGCAATATTATTCAGGATTTTAAAAGTGAGTAGCAAAATGTTAAACTCAATGCGATATTTGATTGGTAATCAGTGTAGATCAACAGGAGCAAATTTTCTAGCTCCAGTCAGAAGCCGAGCCGCAGCATTTTGAACGAGCTGCAGCTTTCAAATAGAGATGGATTGGAGACCACAGTAGAGAGAATTGCAATAGTCTAACCTGGACGTCACAAAAGAGTGGATAAGAAATATTGTATTTTTCAAATATGGAGCCCAACGGTTCCCAAAGTGAGAAAAGGTGGACATGCACCCTAAAACCAGAACAGGATTCAACACAAGAGAGTGTGAAGCCTTCAGTAATAAAACTTTTCCACTAAAATGATTAAGAAATTGCTCACAGAGAGCCTGAGAGGCCGAGCTCGACGATCCAGGACAGGGATTTATCACGGAGTTAAACATTTTGAATAACATTCGGGGGTTGTGGCTGTTAGTCTCAGTAATATCTGACAGGAAAGCTGCTTGAGCTGCCTCAACAGAGTTCTGGTCTAGAGAGCGACTCCTACAAAGGATGTCGTAGGACATCTGAAGCCTACCTTTCTTCCACCTCCTTTCAGATCGATGGCAGACACATCGTAAGGCTCATATAGTGTCATTTAGCCCAGGTTGAGTAGCTTCATGTGTTCTTTAGATGCTGAATATGACTTCTGCTCCTCGTCAGGCTCTCCGTATAGAGACGAGATCACTCTGGGAATACTGCAGCTGCAGGAGAGCAACAGGCTGGAGATCCTGAAGGAGACGCTGGTGGGAGGGAGGACAGTGCCCCAAGAGGAGGGACCACAGGGCCAAAGGTCAGTGTCATCGTAGCGTGATCATTTAACGTAAAAACATCATTTCCTGTTTCTGTTTGATGGAAAGATTCCTGCCTAGGACACAACCGTGCTCTCGCTCATGTCAGTGAAGCCTTACCGCGTGACACGTAAACAGGAAGTTTTTATCGGGCGTCTCCTTTCCTGTGCCGCCTGTCTTTTCCTCATTGATATAACAAAATAACAAATGACTTTGTCCTCCGCCTTCGCTGTTATTGTGTATTTGTCTCCTCCTTCTGAGGCGTCTCACGCCAACAACTCCACATTTTATGCCATCAAACAGGTTAAATGGCATAAAATATCGGTTGTTTTAAGCCTGGCCCGTTGTTGCTGATGGAGAGCACGCTGTGTTTGGAAACAGTCCTCAGGCTGGTAGACCGGTGTAGGTGAATCGATCTGTGATGTGTCCATCGCTGCGTTTCAGGGCTCGGCATGGAGAACATCGGCGGGATCTTTGTGGTTCTGATTTGCGGCCTCATCATTGCCGTCTTCGTGGCCATCATGGAGTTTGTGTGGTCGACACGCCGCACCGCCGAGACGGACGAGGTACACCATCGCACACACACACACACACTTACAGATTACACTGGGCAGACGTGAGCACTGCAGAGCATCTGTACACTGATACAAACGTGCTCCACAAGGTCAAGTTTATTTATGCTGCACATTTCCAGTCAGTGCTGCGCAAAGAGCTTAACAATGTAAAATACCACTAAAACAAATAAATGTAAAACAATGATGCAGTAAAATATAGAAAAAAAAGAGTCAATAAAACAACTAAAACAACAACTAAGGCTGTTAAAACCAAAATGTTAAAGTGGTTAAAGCCAGACCATAAAATTGTCTTCAGTAGCGAGTTAAATTGATCAAGTGTTTGTGCACATCTAATATTTAAGGGAAGACTATTCCAAAGTCCTGGACCTGCCACAGAGAAGGCTCTGTCACGATGAGAAGCTTAGTCCGTGGATAACTTGGTTTTAACTGACCTCATGGTTTTCTCTGGAGCATAAAGGGGCTCAGCCAATAAGCACTAAAAACAAAAGTACGACTTTAAATTGGATCCTGTAAGGAACAGGGAGCCAGTGTGGAGACGCTAAACTGGGGTTACATGCTCCTAACGTTTAGTGCCAGTTAGCAGACGAGCGGCTGCATTTTGGACCAGCTGGAGACATAAAGAGAGGCCTGGTCCAGACCAAAGTACAAAGAATTGCAGTAGTTCAGTCTGCACGTAACAAAGAGAAGGTGCAGCTCCAGGGCCACTGCTTCCTTTATTCCCAGCAGCTGATAGACAGCCTCCATCAGAGCGTGAAGGGTGTAGCTGGGGTTTGGGGGACCTCCATCAGAGTGTGAAGGGTGTAGCTGGAGTTTGGGGGGCCTCCATCAGAGTGTGAAGGGTGTAGCTGGAGTTTGGGGGACCTCCATCAGAATGTGAAGGGTGTAGCTGGAGTTTGGGGGACCTCCATCAGAGTGTGAAGGGTGTAGCTGAGTGCCTTTGCTCTCTCTCTCAGGTTTCCGTCTGTCAGGAGATGCTGACGGAGTTCCGTAATGCCGTATCCTGTAAGAAGAATTCTAGATCCCGTCGGCGCCGACCCCTGACCAGCACTGGGGGCGGAGTCCTACGTCACCCATCCCGCCTGACTCTGGCCGGTCCCCGCCCCATCCGCCTGATTCGAGAGATGCGTCTCAGCAACGGGAAACTGTACAGTGGCGCCGGCCCAATGACGGGCGGGTTGGCAGGGGTCGGGATGGGAGGATGCCCCGATCTGGGCCCGGGCCACAGAGGCTCCTGGAGACCGCTGGGCACCAAAACCTCTACCACCACCCCCCCTCCTGCGTCAGCCCTAGTGGCTCCGCCCGCCCCCCCGCGCAGCTTCCTGCAGGCCTGCAGTCACGTACGCATCTGCCAGGAGTGCCGGCGGATCCAGAGCCTGCGACCGGCCGCGCTTACCCCACCCCTCCGCCCTCCTCGTCCTCCTCCGCCTCCTCCTGCTCCCGGGTCCCGCCCTCAGTGGCGATGACAGGCCTTCACCCCCGTCACAGCGCTCACCATCATCTCCATTATCACCATGGCTCCATGTCGCTGCCCGCCTTCCGCCGCCCCCTCCCCCGATGCCGACGGACAGAGCTGACAGCGACGGGGCGTGGCAAGCCCGCAGCGGTACAAAAACAAACCTGTGCCCCCGCCCCGGCCGCTGCCCCCAACAAGACCCCGACACACCCACCGACAGACTTACTCAGCGGACACGACTGAGCCTAAGGATGCTGTCTGTGGGGTCAAAGGTCACAAACACATTGACCCCAAGCTGTACTGGTCTAAACTGGCTCTCCAGCAGGGGTCAAAGGAGGAAACCATTCTGACCCGTTTGTGGGGGTCATCCATTAAAGCAAAGACACGTCAGTGGACTGCACCAAACCTTTAGGGGGTGAGCGGATTGACCCGCTCTGGGGATGGAGGACTACTCACGGACTTTTTACCTTTTGGATTAAAGCAGACAAACAGGAAGTGACTGTCTGAGGCCGACCCACCCTCAGCCAATCGTCTCACTCCATGCCGAGCAACGAGGACTCAGACAGACTGAGGTTTGATACTGATCCAGGTGTTTGTATAGACGAAACGCTACAGATACACACACTCACACAAAGTGGAGAAGAAGAAAAACTAAGTCTGTGATTGTATTTCCTGTCCTGTTGTCCAATCAGAGGAGCTTCTCCTCCTCCTCGTCCCGATCCTGAAGCTGATGTCACAGCGATCTGATCGCCGAGTTGTCTCATTTCTAAAGGTCACCTGTCAGCTGCCGGCGGCGCTGAGCTCCATCGCTGAATAATTTGGACCTGCTGTACAAAAAAACAACCTGTTGACTTTTTCCCTTTTTTACTATGAAATGAACGAACAGCTGCTGCAGTTGTTACACACATCTGTATTTGTTTTATCATTTAATCATTTTATTTGTATTTTATAACATCATTTTTATATTATATTTTATTTTATTTTTGTTATCATTTTTTTCCTTTTTATAAAAAGAAAATATAAAGTTACAATTACAAAATATATAATTATAGTTTGTTGACATGCAGGAAGTGAAGCAGCAGCTGAAGAGAAAGAGTGCGCGTGTGTGCGTGTGTGTGTGCGTGCGTGTGCGTGTGTGTGTGTGCGTGTGTGTGCGCGTGCGCGTGCGCGTGTGTGTGTGTGTGCGTGTGTGTGCGTGCGTGTGCGTGCGTGTGTGCGCGTGCGCGTGCGCGTGTGTGCGTGTGCGTGTGTGTGTGTGTTTCCTGATGTTTTCTCCTCAGATCAGCAGGACATTATTGATTCTCTTGTTATCATTATTATTATTATTGATATTGACTTGTGGGGTGACTGTAGGAGGGGTGCCGCCCTCTGATGTTCAATATATAGACTCATGTTTGGAATAAATAAATAAAAAACTGAAAGGTGTGTTGAGGTGCCCCGGGTGGAGGAGGTGAAGGTGGGGTTGGGCTGCTGGTCACGGAGCAGCACACAGGGTTTGTTTTGTTGTTTGATTCCCAGTATTCCATGTTTTTGTGATCAGCTGTTCATTCAGAACTCGAGGGATGGGGAATTCGTTTAACGCCGGTTAGGAATGTCCTGTGGACGCGTACATCAAGTGTAACAGCAGCCACGGATGCAGCGTGAGCCGGGTGGACGAGGTTGAGTTCCTGGTGTCTTTCTTTCAGCTTTAACTCTAATCCTGCATTTTTATTTTATTTGTGCACGTTCTCCATCAAAGCCAGAACCCAGCAGAGAGCGTTTACATCCAGCCACGTTGCCACGACAACAGCAGGTTAGTGACTGTGAGCAGAAATGAGCCCCGTCACATGTGACGGGACAGAAATCACCTCTGACATCATTCATGAGGACACCTGCAGGGATGCTGCAGTAACAGAGGGCAGCCAGCAGAGGGCGGTGCAGACTAAGGAAAGCCACAGCTGAGGCAGGCGTGTTCACATCAGCAGGTAAGAATGTGGAAGTTGGAGCGAGTCGTTCCTTAATGTGACATTTATTTATTTATTTGTTTCACACATGGTTCAACAGTATTTCATTCCCTACATACAAATCCTCCTCCCCATTAATATAGCGCTGCACCCATGAGTGAAAAGCAGCAAACGCAGCTCTGTGTCCTTTAAAATAATCGTTAGGATGGATTTAAAGTGATCCTGACCTGTTCCTATCAATGATAATGATTCTTCATTCAAAAATAAGGTGTGATGCACAAACAGTGTAGGAAATTCTGAATGAAAGGCAGTTCAGCTGGTTGTGCTTCAGAGTAGACGTCATGACTGGGTTATCTCTGGAGGTTATGAGGTTTTCCTCAAAAGATAATTCAGATGATGAAGTTCATTAAAAGAACTGAAACTTCTGCTCTTTAGCTGTGTGATGCAAACGGGTCTTTATTTAACCCCGAGTGGCCTCGGCAGGAGGAAAGAGTCCAGCTTTAGAGGACGCTGCAGAAGTCTGATGGACGTGCTTACTGAAAGGTCTTTTTCTTGTAATACATGCACTGACTCTCCGTCTGACACAAGCCGTCCACACAACAATAATAAAGACTGAAACAAAGAGAAACCAAAGTCAGACTGACTGTGGAAACTCACTGACACTAAACTGACTTAAGATCAAGTTTATTTCTAAAATCCACAAAGACCGTAAACTGTTTACAGCACTTTTCTTCATCTTCTCCATCACGCTGCCTGTGAGCACTGTCATCAAACTCACCTGAATCAGTGAGAATGAGGACTTCCAGCGTAGCAGCTGCTAACATGTTGGGGAGTTTTAAAGCCTGCGTAAGCTACCAGGTGTACCTAATGAAATGGTAGATGCATGTTAACTTGACAGCTATGGATGAAAATGTACCTGAACTTCCCTCCACCAGGCTGATGTTAGTGAGAAACATGATGGAGTGATCACAGCCGTGGGAACAGGGTCATAAATAAAACCATGTGACCATGTGATCAGCTGTGACTGGAGCTTTTTGATGGCGGCCCGCTGTAGCGTGGTGTCGTGACAGCGAGCCGGGCTTGGACAGTTGCGTTTTTCAGTGAGGAGAGAAGCCGTTAACCCGAGGAGGCGCTCGGCCATGTTCACGCCTTCCTCCTCCTCCTCCTCTCCTGTGGGTTTGTGTACCTGTGTGAGGGAATCAGATGGCGCTGCTGGGAACAGGATGCACGATGCTGACTCGCAGGTTTCAGCAGAAAATGTTGCACAAACAAATTTTCCAAAGAGCAGGAAGTGACATCAGCAGGCTGCTCCTGTGAGTGCCTCCTCCTGCTGGTCGACGCCCACGGCTCGTTCACTTACAGTCACTGGTTTCTTTAATAGCAACATGACAGGTTACGGCGTGGAGGATGTTAGTCACAGACGTTTGTGTTTGACAGCAATAATAAAATGTTTCGCTGCGTCCTCTGCAGTGAAAACCACCAGACAAGCATGATGTCATCTTTATTCATCATCTGTCATTTTTTATTTTGGGCTCCTGGAGGCTGATATGGCAACAATAATACAAATATAATTATTAATAATAAGGCTCGAGCCGCGGGTCCCGGACTCGAGCTCGGGCTGTACGGCTGAGAGCGGCCGGCCCGGGCTCGAGTCCGCCGTCTTTACCGCACGTCTCTCTGCTCCTGACACTTCTTCACTGCATCTGTGAATAAAGCTAAGAACAGAAAACATCTCCGCCTGCAGATTCAGCATTCTCGGTGGCGCTTTAATAGAAACGGTCTCAGACACATAAATATCTGAACACATTTCTGTCCTGAGAGGTCAAACACACCAAAGCACAGGTTTGATATCTGTCTCTTAGAGCGTCGCAGGTTTCCTCTTCACGATGAAGATGATGATCTACTGAAACTGCTGCAAACAGTGAAACAATCCAAACACAGCTGCCTGCAGGTCAAAGGTCAGCCCGCTGCGCTGTGGTGCAGTCACAGTTGGTACTTTTTTATCACACACGTGTACTTCTACTTCACTGAAGAGTATATGTACTTCTGCACCACGTGTCATGTGACCCACGCAGGGTGTGGCTTAGTTCCAGTTCAGCTGAATCCTCTCGTATCGGCTCTTCACACAGCCGTGACCACAGCTCCTCTTCATGTGTGATCATCTGATCACAAACGCGATGCGCAGACGTCTGTCGACGTTCGGAGCTGCAGATCTGAGATATTGTCAAAACTGACAAAATGAAAATTTGCTATCAGATTTGAATCCAGCACCAAAACCATCACAAACATCTGACTGACAGCAGCTTCATGTTTCAGCACGGCAACGATCCAAACACGCCGCCAGCGCAGGGAAGCACGCCTGGACAGAAACACACGGGGGAACTATCAGAGCCTCAGCATCACTGAAGCTTCATCCTGACAGCGAACACGCCGGCGTCCTTCAGGAAGCCCGGAGAACTGTTCCCGAGGATCCTCACAGAGCTCACACTGAGCTCCAGATTAAAATATTCAAACTCTGTTTTTAACTAAATACACATGAATGTCTGAATAAATCTCTGCACGTATTTCATACTTTACTGCAAAACAGAAAGAAATGAGGGGCAGATGAAGACTTTTGCACAGCACTGTACTAGAAGGAACCAGAAGGAACCCAGGAAGATGAAAGCGTGGTGAGCAGGAGACCTTTGATGACACGAGCTTTGAAGGTTTTCTGCAGAATTATGAAGAAACAGATCAAAGGTCCGACTCTGCATTTCACGTTAAATTGGTGCAGTTTACTGAACATGACACACATGCTGGCTTTAGATTGCGACACTGTCAGATTCAAAGGATGTGACAATGACTGTAAAAGGCAATAAATCAGTGACACGCCCCCTCAGGCTGTCAGTCGGTGATTAATCACACGCATCATTTCCTCAAATATGCAAATGCAGACGTCACATGATGCAACACTGCTTCCAGAAATAAATGTGGTGTAATGATTCGGTAAGTTCGCCTTTTTCAGGAGAAGCTGGTGGGAGTCATGACAAGAGCAGGTGAAAGGTCACGATGAATGTGGTGTGCACGC